ACTGATATCCCAACCAAGGACAATTCATGGAGAGGATCTAAACCCCTGGCTCAGATGTAGCCCATAGACTCAGTCTCCAAGTGGGTTCCTAGTAAGGGGAGCAGGGGCTTTCTCTGACATGAACTCAGTGATGACAGGCTCTCTGATCTCCTCCCCTGGCGGGCAGGAGGTGCAGTCTTGCCAGGCCACAGAGGAAGACAATGTAACCAGTCCTGATTAGACCTGATAGGCTAGGTTCAAATAGAAGGGGAGGAGGACCTCACCTGTCAGTGGACTAGGGGAGAGGCATAGGGAAGAAGAAGGAGGGAGGGTGGGATTGGGAGGAGATGAGGGAGGGGACCACAGCTGGGATACAAAGTGAATAAATTATAAAAATGACAATAATAAAAAATTTAAATATGTTAAAAATGTCTTTTAATAAACTCCATATCTGGTAACATTTGTTGTTGTTGTTGTTTCGCTGGCCATGGTGAATGGTGCCTAAAGCTGTATGTGGTAATCCCATCATTAACAAACATTGTTAAACAGACAAAAATAAATCAATAAGCACATTTAAGACTTTTTAAATATTTTCTTTTTATTATTTTTATTTATGTGTAGATGGGTTTGCATGCTATATTTGTTTGGGTGCCCTCTCATGCCCAAAGAGGGAATCAGATTTAGTAGGGCTGGAGTTACATACAGGTGGTTGTGAGTCACCCCATGTATGTGCTAGAAACCATACTTGAGTCCTCTGCAAGAAGGGCAGCTGCTTTTTTTTTTTTTTTTTGAGACAGGGTTTCTCTGTGTAGGCTTAGCTGTCCTGGGCTCAATTTGTAGACTAATGCTGGTACCTAACCTTTAGTCCATCTTGACTTGCCCCAGTGTCTTCTGAGTGTACGATTTGCTTTGCTTAAATAAGCTTCTGCATCTCACACAAATTCTTTCCTTTGCAAAGGCAAGAACCAAGGAGAAGCCTTACAGCAACATCATTTCTTCCAATGATCCTCTTAAAAAGAGTGTCAAAAATCACAATTGTATGGCTTGGAGCTATAGCCCAGTGATCAACAGTGCTCATTGCTCTTCCAGAGGACCTGGGTTCAGTTCCCAGCACCTACATGTTGGTTCACAACCATGCATAACTCCAATTCCAAGGGATCTGACACCCTCTTCTGAACTCCACATGCTGCCTCCGCAGCAGGCACACATGTTGTGTACATATATACAAGCAGGCACAACACTCATATACATAAAAATAAATCTTTTTTCTAAAAACCCACAGTACAAGTGATACTATATGAAGCCTGGAACTTGTAAGAAGACTCTTTGCTGGTGAGCATGTTTGGCAACAGAGGAAGTTCATCAGGCTTTGCAAGCAAGCAAGCAAGCAAGCAAGCAAGCAAGCAGGATGGAAGCCAGTCCTGTTGTTCCCTATGGCCTGGGTTTCTGATGCATGGGGACAAACCTAACTGTAGCTTCAATGATGATTAAGCTACAAAGGGGCATTCAGAACCATAGAGTGCTAAGCTCTGAGTGTACAGTTTCAGTTCATTGGTTTCCTCTGGTCTCACCTCCCTCCCTCACCAAGAGACACAACTCCCAACATACAACTGCTGTTTGCTTAATTGCCTCATATCTAACTCCTAGCTGGACTCAATGATGGGTATCCAACTGGTTCAAACCAAGGTTCTTTTCCTTCAGAGTCCATCCTCTCAACCATAATATGTGTTATAACACGTCTCTGCCTTGCTTCTCCCAATTATATAGTTTACATAGATATGATACTAAACACACACTAAAGATTTTGTAACTTAGTAAGTGCTAGAGCCAATGCTGGCCCTCTAACTACTTTGGGCCCAGGGACCACAAATGTGGTTGTAGCTACAGTTCAGGGAGCCAGTGAGAATTCGCGAGGCTGGCAGAGTTGGAGAGAAACAGCAGCAGTAGAGAGTGTGTGGGTCTCCTTCAAGGGGGTGGCTTTTTCATCTACCTAGTCTGCTGCCCAGTGAGACTGTATACCCGTCATGGCCAGGGGAGTCTCACTGATGTGAAGCAGGTTGAAAATGTGTATTTTCGCTGAAATGGTCCAGCTTTAACATTTTTCCTCTTTCCATTTTTCATTTATGTATGGTATGCATGTGTTTTGTTTTGTTTTTTAATATTCGTGGTAGCACATGTACATGTGGAACCCCAAGGTTGATGTGGTGAATTGAAACATACTAAGACCAATTCTGCTCTTCATTCCTCTCATAGCCACTAAATTGGTGACATCTCTCTATTTTGCTCATCATCTTTGGAGGAAACATATAATCAAGTTCCAGAATATATTTTCAGTGTTGTCCTAGGTTAAGAAGAGGAAAAACTGGCCCCTTCCTCTTCACTGGTCATTTGGGCCTAGACCTTTGGTTTTATTCAAAAGATCAAATTTGACAAAACCATCTTCACAGTTTAGAGCTTTAGAGAAAATGGGGCTGGGCGTGTGGTACATTGGTAGAATGCTTACCTAGCATGAACAAAGCCCTGGGTTCTAGCATAAGCACCACAAAAAAAGGGCCTGGTGGTACCAATGGGTAATCTCAGCACTTGGGAGGTAGAGGCAAGAGAATCAGAAGCTTAAGGTCATCCTCTGCTACATAGTGACTTAAGATAGCTCTACAACATGAAACCCTATTTTCTTTTAATTTTTTTCAGGGGGAGGGACTTTTTTATTTCAGTTCATTGTAGTATTGTGCTCATATTATTAATGATTTGGTCATTGACTCCACATCATCCCTGACCTCCAAAGAAAACTCATCCTTCATGACTTTACCTACCTCTTAATGAAAATGTCTTTTGGCCCACCTGGCCCTTTTTTTCAGATGGGGTTTTACTATGTAGGCTCACAGAGATCCACCTGCCTCTGCCTCCTGAGTGCTAGGATTAAAGGCATGTGCCACCACATCTGGCAAAACCATTTTTTGAAGAAGAAATTATGTGAGAAAACATGAGAGGCCAGTCAGATACAGAGCTAACCATTGCATGATACATGGGAATGTTTGGTCCTCGGGGTCGCCAGACTCCATCATTTGTGCACATAAGTTGCAACTGATGACACAGTAAACTCATTATTATGCATGAACTGGATGCTTGTAGTGCTGCTCAATTGGTTTGACCATGTACTTCTGACAAGATGGAAGAAATGAGGAGCTGCTATGCTTTAACACAGTTGAGGACAGGGATCAGCACAGCTCAAAGCTGAAGGAAGAAGTGACATTTTTTTTTTCCTTCTTGAGAGACCAGGTCTTACCATATAGACTTGACTGGTCTAAAAGGTGCTTTATAGACCAGGCTGGTCTCATACTCACAGATATCTGCCTGCTTCAGCCTCTAGAGTGCCGGGATTAAAGGCATACGAAGCCACAACCAGCGGGCCTAACTTCTAAACGTTTTTTTTCCTCCTAAATATTCTTATACTGTACTGATTTCACTGGTGTCAAAGAATACTTTAAACAAAATACCTTTTGTTTATTATTCATCACTAAAGCCAGTGGTAAACTATGTGATGGTTCATAATATCTATTCTGTCTGAAGGGAATTGGGTGATAATTGTCATTTATTGGCAATAGCTGTATGTACAATGATGGGAAACTGTGATTTTTTTTTTTATATGGACACTGCTGAATGATAGTCTCAAGCTAGTTAAAATATCCTTCACCTCATATACCATCTATTTATAGTGAGAACATTTAAAATAAATTGTTTTAGAACATTTAGAATAGATACTATTATTCACTATGGTCACCACGCTGTGCAATAGATCTTGAAAATGTAACTTGTCTAACTGAAAATGTGTAATGTTGGGGCACATTATCTCTGGTGATAATTTTTGACTTGCAAACTTTCTATTCCATTTCCACAAAAGTGAAAGAAACACTAGTATGTTCAAAACTTGACAAGAGGAGCCTTAAGAGATGGCTCAGCAGCTAAGAGCACTACTGTGCTTCTAGAAGACCTTTTGATTCCTAGCATCCATATGATGGCTCACAACCATCTGTAACTCCAGTTTTAAGGGATCTGATTCCCGCTTCTGGCCTCCAGGCACATGAGTGGTTTACAGACAAATGTGCAAGCAAAACACCCATCCACGTGAAACAAGTTTTTAATCTTAAAAACCCGATGAACAAAAAGAACTCCAGAGTTGAAAAGAGCCAGATATGGCAGTGTGCACCGTTAATGCAAACACTCAGGAGGCAGAGGCAGGTGGATCTTTGTGAGTCTGAACAAGTTCCAGGCCACCCAGAGCAACATAATAAGACCCTGTCTCGACCTCAAAAGTTGAAAAGAAAGCTGTCAGTGTATAAATAAAGAAAAAGAATGGGGGATGGTGAGATGGCTCAGCAGATAAAGATGCTTGCTGCCATGTCTGATGGTGCCTGGCACACACATACATACACTCAAATAAATGTATGTATTCAAGAAGGAGAATGAATGTATACCTTTAAAGCTAGCACTCCGGAGGCTGAGGCAGGGTAGTTCCAAATTTGAGGGAAGGTGAGCCTAAATGAAATTTTAGAAATTTTACATCTTTTGTCTGCATAGTTTAATTTTATCCAGTTAAATTTGATAAATACACCAAGAGAAATTTGCAAATAAATACACCAAGAGAAATGGAAAACTGGACCCAGTCACTACAAAAGCAAAAATAAATCAAGCAGTAATCATAGCACTTGGGAGGTGGATGTCTGAAGATCAGGTTCAAGGTCATCCTGGCTATAGAGTGAGTTGGAGGGCCAGCCTGGGATACATGAGACCTTGTGTCTAATTGATAAATTAAAATAAGCTGAAATCTATCATTTAACTTTTGCTTGTGGCTTGGTATGTGATTCAATCTTGATATAATTTGGCTATAACTTTCTACATGTATTTACTTTGTGGTAATCAGTCTAATAAACACTTCTATGTGATATTACATACTCCAAATGATTCAAAGACAAGGCCCACCTTTTCCCCCATTCCCTGAATTGCTGGATGTGTCATTTCAGTGATTGAGGGAGGACCCCTGGAACACAACTACAGACTGAAGCAGTTTCATTTTCACTGGGGGGCCATTGATGCTTGGGGCTCTGAGCATACCGTGGACAGCAAATGCTACCCAGCAGAGGTAGGTTTCTTTTCCTTTCATTCTTTTTCTTTCTTTTCTTTTTTCTTTCTCTCTTTTTTTTTTTTTTTTTTTTTTTTTTTGAGACAGGGTCTTTCTGTAGTCTTGGTTGTCCTGGAATTCACTATGTAGACCATGTTGGCTTTGAACTCACAGAGATCCTCCTGCCTTTACCTCCCAAGTGCTGGGATTAAAGGTGTTCACACCTGGATTGAACAGCAGAGGTATGTTTAAAAAAAAAGTTCAAAAGAGCAATGGTGTGTAAATGTGGCGATAGTTATGAAGTTTCTAGTTCAAGTAAATGATCAAGAAGTCTCAGATGATGCTTTACATCCTACTTAGCTTGTTCAGGGACATCTTCGACATGTTAAACTTATATTCATTCTAAATATCACACATAACATAAACCATAAGATGATAAAAAAAAAAAGTTCTGGGGCTGGAGAGATCAGTCAGCAGTTAAGAGCACTTACTGCTCTTACAGAGGACCTGCGTTCTGTTCCCAGCACCGATCTACATAAAATAAAACAAATAAATATTTTAGAAATTAGAACTAGTTTCTTTTTTCCTGAATTCTGACCTAAGTGCAATCATTTCTAAAGCCATCAGCTACTGTAAAGCTGTAAGGCTGGGTTAATCCAAGTGGAAATAGTGTGAGCCTAGGAGAAGGTTGTGGCAGAAGAGAGAGCAAAATGACAAAACACCAGAACTTGCAGTTGGGCTCCTCAGGCGAAGGGAAAGCTAACTAGGACTGTGAAGTAGATCATTTGGGAGGCTAGGTGATGATAAAGCTGTGGCTTGAGAATAGTTGGTGAGGAATGATTGATATGGAAATGGAAGCAGAGCACAAGGAGATAGAATTTCTTCTTGCAAATGAAATTTCTTCTTGCAACTTTTCCCTTAATTTAGTTTTAAATGTGATGCCAAAAATGAAAACATTTTAAGTGATCATCCCTCCAAGAGGAAATTTGTCTTTAGCTCCCATCTAATTTTCACAGGGAGGATGCATTTCTCTTAATATAAACATCCTCTCTCCTTTAGATGCAAATGGATTCAGGATATTAGTATTTCATGCAAACCAGGATGGGAATGAAGGAATGTTGATCCCTCACTGCAAAGTTACTTTACTATGTAAATTTAATTTTTTTTCTCCCCTAACAAATCCCTCTTTTCCAAAGAATATTGCTATTCTTGCCACAATGTCTTCTTTCTATTCTTTATATCAATCCCATTTTGCACCAGGTTGTCACGGAGTTTCTCAGTGGCTCTATTTTGGATCATGAAACAAGATTTAATATTACATGTTGGATGGGGCTGTCAGTTTAGTTTGGAGCAGTCTTGCATGGTCATGTATAAACCATATTTACTGTTGTTTCAGCTGCACCTGGTACATTGGAATGCAGTCAAATTTGAAAATTTTGAGGATGCAGCACTGGAAGAAAATGGTTTGGCTGTGATAGGTGTGTTTCTAAAGGTAAAAACAAAAATTCAAGTTGGGCACAGTGGTGTACTTTTAATCCCAGCACTGGGGAGGCAGAATCAGGCAGAACTTTGTGAGTTACAGGACAGCCTGGTATACGTAAGGAGTTCCAGGACAGCTAGGAGAGAGAGACCCTGCCTTAAACAAAAGAACAAACAAACCAACTATCTTTACCAAGATCAAATGATGTATTGAATATTACACTAAAAAGAGAGAGCTTTATGGCGCTGGAGAGATGGCTCAGTGGTAAAGAATGCTGACTGCTCTTTCAGAGGACTCAGGTTCAATTTCTAGCACCCACATGGCAAATCACAACTGTCTGTAACTACAATTCCAGGTGATCAGAACCCTCACACATATATACATGCAGGCAAAACACCAACACACGTAAAAAAGTAATAAACACATTATTGTAAAATTTAAAAAATAAAAGATAGAACATCACAAGTTACTTATTTGAAAAAAAAAATAGAATTAAAAAAAAAAGATCTGTAGAGATTGCTTAGTGGTTAAGAACATGTGCTAGTCATGTGGAGAACCCCAGTTCATTTGCCAGCATCTATGTCCACTAACTTACCTGCCTATAACTGCAGCTCCAGGGATATAGGATGCCTTCATTCATATGCACATTAACCTCACACACACATATACACGCTCACACACACACTTAAAACAACGAAAAATCTTTGAAAAAGATGACCGTTAGGCCAGGCATGGTGGCACATGCCTTTAATCCCAGCACTTGGGAGGCAGAGGCAAGCAAATTTCATAGTTTGAGGATAGCCTGGTGTACAGAGTGAGTTCTGGAACAGCCAGGGTAATGCATAAAAGGACATTGGGATCAATAAGAGAGAGGAGGAAGAAGGTGGGGAATGAATAAGTATATTATATTTTTTCTTCTGATATTTCCATGTGTGTATATATATGTAATGTGTATATCTATCTATATATATGAAAACCCCACAAGAAAATTCATTATTATATATTATTAACATTTTAAGAAGAATATTAGTACTAGGCCAAGTATGGTGGCACACAGCTTTGATTTTAGGACTCAGGAAACACAGGCAAGCCAAGAATACATGAGACTCTCTCTCTCTCTCTCTCTCTCTCTCTCTCTAGATATATGTATGTATATATGTATATACATATATGTATGTATATATACATGTTTTACATATATATGGTGAAAATAAACAGTGGTTACAATTAAAAACTATTTTGAATATATTTTAAATGGTATAAAAATGTAGTCCAGAGACTAGAGCAATGGTTCAGCAGTTTGGAGTGCTTGCTGCTCTTGTAGAAGCCTGATACTCACTTCTCAGCATGAACATCAGGCTGCCTACAGCTGCCTGCAACTGCAGCTTCAGCAGCTCCAGCTTCCTCTCTGACCTCCATGAGCATCTGCCCACCTATACACATATCTCCACACAGACACACATACACGCAGAAAAATAAAAGAATAAAACCAATCTCTAAAACATACACAGCCAAATCAAGTAGAAATAAGCCATCTGGGGTACGTGAGCACTTAAAATGTGCTTTGTTTGGGAGGTTGAGAGAAGAGGATCAAGAGTTTGAGACCAGCCCAGGTATAAGATAAGACACTGTCTTGGGGGAAGGGGGATTAGCGAAAATACAGGGTAATTTATAGTTTCATCAACTTAAAATTCAGTGTAAGAAATGATAATGGGAGCAAGAGGCACCTTTCTCTATAGGCACAATGGTCTTGTCAGCAAATAGCCTGTTCATTTTGTTCTGAATCTAATTTAATTTAGTGGTGTTTATAATATTTGTAATTACCATCTGAAATCTAGTTTCAGTTGTGTGGCTTGTTTGTGGTTAATTTTGATTCACATTCTATTTGAATTTCTACAGTGAGATGGCCATTGTATGTAATATTTCTTCTTTATTATTATTTTTTTTTAGCTAGGTAAACATCATAAAGAACTACAGAAATTGGTAGACACTTTGCCATCAATTAAGCACAAGGTAATTTCCCCCCTTACATCACTTGAAGTGTATTTTGTATTTAAATCTCGGAGTAGACAACACACTTTGAAACAGAGAGACATATTAAATGAACTTTATTCAGGTCTCTTTCAACAGCGTTGCAGAAGGAGACCGGTTGTGGATGATGGTGTATTAATGATTATCCCTTACTTAATACATTGCAGGGCACAGGAGCAGTTGCCTCAGTGGGGCTTTCTGCTTTTGCTGAGTACTTGCTGACTAAGGAATCCACAGGGTTCCTGACACCAGCTCCTTCTCCATCTTTGAATGAACACTCAGAGCAGTCTTATTTTCTCTAGCTACCTCCCACAAGTAAGCAGGGAGAAAAGTTTTATATGAATTTAATGTGTCTAAGAAGTGAAGAACCCATCTCCTTTGTCTAACTCCTAAGATGAATTCTTCAACATTCAGAAACCCAGAGGGGCTGCTTCCCAGAAATCAGTATAGTATATAAAGCTCTGTCTTTTTTATTACCCTCTCTCCCTTATTTCCTGTCTCCCTCTTTTTCTCTTTTTCCTTAGTCTAGGATCCTGACATTCACTTCCTTTTTTTCATGTCTTTTCCTTCCCTCCCTTTCTTTTTCATTGCAATGCTGGGGATGGAACTCAAGGCTTTGAGAATGCTAGGCAAGCTGTCTACCAGTGAGCTACACCCTCCGCTCTGTACCAGTTTTAAAAGAACAAATCTGTGTTAGTTTCTCTTGAAGTGAAGCCTCTCTGTTTATGAACAGCCACTACCTAATACTCCCTCCCCAAGAAAATTGAAGAAGAAAAAAATATTTTCGCTGTTTTCTCAGAGAAAACTTTTAGAAATACACAGCATGATTTTGTGTTAAGTAGTGATGATTGTTTCAGAAGCTGCCTGGGGTCCCTTAACTTCCTTTGGACCACTGTTGGTCCCTGGACACTCCAGTAGAGCCACTGCCTCACCCTCTGATACATGAGTGACTTTTACCAATAATTAATAACTCAGTAACTCCTTCTCTTGGACAGGACACCCTGGTGGAATTTGGCTCATTTGACCCCTCCTGTCTGATGCCTACTTGCCCAGATTACTGGACCTACTCTGGGTCTCTCACTACTCCGCCCCTCTCAGAGTCTGTTACCTGGATCATTAAGAAGGAGCCAGTAGAGGTTGACCGTGATCAGGTATTCCTTGTCCATTTTCCATCTGTGGAAGTGCTAGTCTGCCTGGTCAAGCTGGGATCAAATCTTGACTTCATTCTTGTTTGTTTATTTGTTTGCTTTTTTGGGGGGGGTTGAGGGGAGAAGTAGGGTCTCATGTAACCTAGGCTGGCCTAGAACTTCAAATGAACTATTTTTGTGCTTCTTTTATTGTTTTGTGGTGGTAGAGATTGAACTCAGGGCCTTGCACACACTATGCAAGCATTTGGGATTATATTCCCAGACTTAATCAGGAAAAAGACTTAAGGCACAGAAGGCATACAATATTTGCTTTGATATTTGCTTATGAATTGTGTGCTTTCTTTCCAACTGTGAATCTCTACTTAAAATCAAGACCCAGGTAAAGGGAAGAGTGAAATCTGGAGATGTCCCAAGCATTTTATAATACTTAAAGGAAATTTGTAATAGTAGCCCAGAAGAAAGAGATTCTAACAATGACTGTAAAGAAATATTAATATTTCTTCATAATAAATAATAAACCTATGGTCTATTCTTTAGCAAATCAGTTGAGATATTAATTACTATACATATATACCAAGTCTTGTTTAGTTTACAACTAAAGTGCAATAATATTTGCTCATGGGCTGGGGATCTAGCTTAGTCCCAGGTTCAATTCCCAGTCTCCCCCACTCTAAACACACACACCTCAAACCAATAATTTCTAATATTTTCTCATAGTTGCTGTGAGGGATATATATTGATTTCAAAGTACTGTCACAAGAAATAAACAAAACCTTCCAAGCTCTTTTTATGAAGCCAAGATAACTGACAGAACCAATGATGCCCCTACCAAAGTGAACTGTAGACTGATACACAAGGGAAAAAAAAGTAAAATAAAATATTAGAAACACAATCTAGCAGTATAGCAGAAGCAGAAGGAAATTACTATTCTTTTGTTGTTGTTGTTTGTTTTGGTTTTCTAAGACAGGGTTTCTTTGTATGTAGCCCTGGCTGTCCCGGAACTCCCCATGTAGACCAGGCTGGCCTCAAACTCAGAGATCCTCCTGCCTGTGCCCCCTGATTGCTGGGATGAAAGTCCTGTTCGTCCACCACCCAGATCTATTCTCTCCTTAATAATTTAACAAAATACAGGTGAATAGAGACTTTCTTAACATGGCCAATTGATCTTTCTTCAAAAGTAAATATAGAAGCTAGCAAGGTGGCTTAGCAGTTAAGAGTACTTGCTGCTCTTCCAGAGGACAAATGTTCAAATCCAAGCATTTGTGTCAGACAGTCCACAACCGTGTATAACTTCAGCTCCAGGGGATCCAACATCCTCTTCTTGCCTCCATAGGTACCATACAAAAGTGGTACCTATATATTTTTAAATTAAATACTGTCATCCATTGGTAGCTGTGGAAGACTAGTTCCAGAACCCTCAATATACAAAACATCCAGATGCTCGAGTCCATTATATACAATTGCCTAAGATTTTAACATCTGCATATAGCCTATGCACATCTTCTAATATACTGTAAATCACATCTATCTTACTTTTTATACATCTTCCAATATACTTTAAATCACATCAATATTACTCTTACAACCATATTGCCATATGGTGTAAATGCTATGTAAATAATTTTCCTACTGTATTGGTTAGTGACTAAATACGAGAAGAATCTGTACCTTCTCAATGGAAGCAGTTTCCTGAATGGCCTAGAATTTGCTATGTAGACCAAGATGGCCTTGAAATTACAATTCTGTCTCCCAATTCAGCCTCCTAATTACCATCAGTTTTTTTTTCTGTTATCTATGTGGAAACCAAGGATACAGAGTACCAATAATTGAATTTAATATGGAAGCTTTTTGTTTTGTTTTGTCTCATGTAGCCTACACTGTCCTCTAACTCACAGTATAGCTAAAGATGAATTCTTGATCTTTTCACCTTTTCCTCTCAAATTATGGGATTATAGGCATACTTCACCATGCCCACTGGAAGTAACTGTTACCATGTTAAATATTACATGTTAATATTAAAACTCAGACTCAGGACACTGAAAAAAACTTAATATTACTGGGTAGAAAGACATCATATTAAGGATGTCAGTTTTCCTTCACTTGTATTTTTCATTAATTGTTTATTCTCCATAAGTTAATGTAGCTCCAATAAATATGCCAATAAGATTTAAAGTAAATACATTACTTTTTAAAAAGTTTTATTTTTAAATTTTGTTGATTTTTATTTTATGTATATGAATGTTTGCCTATATGTATGTGTATATACCACACCTGTGCTTAGTCCCCAAGGAAACCAGAAGAGGGCGTTGGATCCCCTGTAACTGGAGTTATGGATAAGGTTGTGGGCCTCAGTGTGGGTGCTGGGAACTTACCTCAGGCCCTCTGCAAGAGCAGCAAGTGATCTTAACCAATGAACCGTCTCTTCAACATTTTATTCTGTTTTTAACTAAAAATATGTGTGCACTCACATGTGTGTGAGTGCTCTCAGAAGCCAGAAAAAAAGCTCAGATCCAATTGAGCTTGACTTAGAAGCTGTTAATGAGTTGCTCAGAATGGGTACTGGGAACCAAACTTGGATCTTTTATAAGACTATCAAGTACCTTTAACCACTAAACCATCTCTCCAGACATAAATCTGAGTCAAAATAAGATGCATAAATAAGCAGGGAGATTTCTAAAAGAACAAAGAAGGAGTGATTAGATTCACAGAAGCTATAAAGCTTCAAGAACTGAATGCCATGGTACTGGTACAGGAATAACAAGAACAATAAAGAGATGTATTTAGAAACAGAAACAGAGCTAATGAGAGAGAGAGAGAGAGAGGCAGAGGAGGGAAAGAGGAAGAGAGAAATATGAAGAGGGCAAGAGCAGGAGAAGGGGCAGAGAGGAGAGGGAGATAGAGAGAGAGGGAGAGATGAGAGAGGGAAAAAGGGGGAGGAGAGGAGAGGGAGGGAGGGAAGAAGGAAGGGAAAAAGGAAGGGAAAATGAGAATGAATTAGACTGGGATCTCTTGAGAAGACTTCTTGTGCTCATGTGATTATGGAGGTTGAGAAGTCTTCTGGCTTGCTGTCTACAACCTGAAGGTCACCCGAGGGGTAAGCTCAAAGGCCTGATAGCTGGAAAGCCAATGGTGTGTGTTCTAGCTGTGACTTTAAACTAGAACTCCCAGTGAGAACTAGGAGCTCCCAGTGTAGAGGCAGATTGATGGCTCAGTTCAAACGTAGTCAAGGCAGACATGGTGAACCTTGTAAAGCACAGAAGGGAGACAAAACAATAGGCAAATAACCCACAACCCAAGAACATCTTACTCCTTTCTTATGACAGAATTAAGGCAGAGAAATGTTCATTACAATGCCAATTGAAATGATGTGTTTGGGATTTAACTACTAAATTTCACTAATCTCTATTTCTCAGAAAGTCAGATAAACAGTTCAGTTTCTCCTTGGTAAAATGGAAATCTAGTGTGACTCCATCTTAATTTTTTTTGAGACAGGGTTTCATCATGTATGTAGCCCTGGCTGACATGTAACTCCCTATGTAGACTAGGCTGGTCTCAACTCTCAAAGATCTGCTTGCCTCTGTCTCCCAAGTGCTGGGATTGAGGAACCACCCTTATACCCAACTCCTCCATCTTGGTTTTTATGTTGGTCTATTGGGACCTACTGCAGGAACTTAATCCAAAACAATAGGTTCTCAAGCCCACCAAGGTGGTGCATGCCTGTAATCCCAGCACTTTGGGAGGCAGAGGCAGGCAGATTAGCCTGGTCTAGAAAGTGAGCCCAGGACAGTCAGTGCTACACAGAGAAAAAGTGCTACACAGAGAAACCCTGTCTTGAAAACAAACAAACAGAACAGTAAGTTCTTTAATTCCATGCAAACTGGGTATGGTAGTACAGCCTATAATACCAGCACTTTGGAGGTAGCCACTGGAAGATCAGGTATCCAAAGCCACCATTAGTTAAAAAGCATTTCAAGGCCAGCCCAGGCTATGTAAGATTCTTTCTCAAAACAAAACACAAAACAGTCAGCAGAGAGCAAAGTGAACCCTTCACTTTTTTGTCCTATTCAGGCTCTCCTCAGTGGCTTAGACTTCAAGAAAGAAAACCATCTGCTTTACTCAGTCTCCCAATTCAAATCCTAATCTTTTCAGGGAAACATCCTCACGGACACACTTAGAAATAATAATTAACCAGATATCAGCACACCCCCAGTCTAACTGATAGACAAGATTAGACTGTGCAAGAAGAAAGTAGTAGCTTCAAAAATGTGTTAAAAAGTAAATAAGAATTTACTTTATTACTTGAAGTCCTAGCCAGAGCAATAAGACAACTAAAGGAGATCAAGGGGATACAAATTGGAAAGAGGTCAAAGTGTCACTATTCGCAGATGATATGATAGTATATATGAGCGACCCCAAAAATTCAATCAGAGAACTCCTCCAGCTGATAAACACCTTCAGCAAAGTGGCAGGATACAAAATCAACTCAAAAAAATCAGAAGCCCTCCTGTATACCAAAGACAAAAGGGCCGAGAAAGAAATTAGGGAAACAACACCCTTCACAATAGCCACTAACCACATAAAGTACCTTGGGGTGACTCTAACCAAGCAAGTGAAAGACATGTTTGAGAAAAACTTCAAGTCTCTGAAGAAAGAAACTGAAGAAGATCTCAGAAGATGGAAAGATCTCCCGTGCTCATGGATTGGTAGGATTAACATTGTGAAAATGGCCATCCTGCCAAAAGCAATCTACAGATTCAATGCAATTCCCATGAAAATACCAACTCAATTCTTTACAGACCTTGAAAAAAAGATTCTCAGCTTCATATGGAGAAACAAAACACCCAGAATCTCCAAAACAATCCTGTACAACAACAGATCATCTGGAGGTATCTCTATCCCCGATCTCAAGTTGTACTACAGAGCAATAGTAATAAAAACTGTATGGTATTGGCATAAAAACAGAAAAGAGGATCAATGGAACCGCATAGAAGACCCAGAAATAA